TGTGGTGCACAACAATAAACAAAATAAATGTTTATTGGAAGGGCCCTTAATGACAGTTAGTCCTACCTATACCCAAAGCCCATCTTCAATAAGAGCCAGAAGTGGTCTTCCAGCCTCTACTTGCAGACCTGCAAGGGTGGGAGACCTCCTGGCATCTCTTGAACCATTCACCCCACCTGAGGACAACTTAGACATTGTTGAGTTTGGGTTTGGTTGAGTGGTGGTTTTTTTTTTAAATTAAGCTTAAATCGGCTTTCCTGTGCCATCTGTGCTTGTCCCCTGGTTCTCCTCTCTGGAGATCAAGCAAACAAGTTCAAGTTTGAGCCCTCCTCCATGAGACTGCCCTAGAATTTCTAACACTAGATTTACTGGACAGTTTCACACTTTTCATGTCATCCTCTCATCCTGAATACAGGAGGTAAGGGGCAAGAAAGAGATAGAATCAGGGCTGAGGCCAGAACCTGCCTCTGAGAACAGGACAAAGAACAGAATGCAGACATGGAGGTAGGAGCTAGGGCCTCATGTCAGCCCTGGGCCCTGGCAGTCAGTTAAAAAGCCCTGATTGAGCACCTCCAATCTTCGAGGCACTAGGCCAAGCCCTAGGGATACAAAGGGGAAAAGCCAGTCCGTGCTGTCAAGGAGCTCCCAATGTGGCATACAAACATGGAGATGGTTGGAGAAGAAGCAACAGCTCGGGAACATCGCTCTTAGCTGATCCAGGGAAAGAAGAGAATGTTTGGGAATTGAGAGACCTTTAGTTCAATGGGAAATAGGGGAATTGAAGGAATGAGGATAATAACGGTTTAAGAAGATAAGCAGAATTAGGGAGGAAAGAGTCAAAATCAAAATAAGAATGATAAAAATAGAGGGACCAAAGACCTGGTGAAAATAAAGTCCTAACCCTCTCCTTGGTGAGGGGGCGGGGCCGGGGACCGAGCCAAGGCCATTCAGAGCTCTGGGCCCGCCCCGCCCTCTCCCCTCCCACTCTATCCTCCCCTGGTCCCGCCCCATCTTCTTGAGAAGGTCCCGCCCTCAGGGTCAGTGGTTCAGCCCCGGCCCCGCCTTGGGCACATCCAATTGGAATCAGCGGCGGACCCAAGGTGGGACCTGCCCCGCCCATCCGCCGAGAACATTGGCCAGAGCTGCAGCCCGGACTACATTTCCCCGAAGGCTGGTGGTCGTAACCGGAAGCGGCCTTCCCTGGGAACTCCCGGAGCGGTCCCGCTCCTGGGCCCTGTCTCAGGCCTTGGTGAGGCTCTCCTGGTGCCTCTTCCGGTTTGGGCCTGCTTGCTCAGGCGCAGTTTCACCTGGGGAGGGCTGGCCCTGGAGAGAGAGGTTGTTTTAGGTGAGCTGTGGGGGCGGGGCGTCAGTGTGGGCGTGTCTGAGTTGTGGGTGAGCTGCTGGGTCCGAGAGAACGTGGGAGAGGAGAGGAGCCCGGGCGGAAGCTGGTTGGGCGGGGCTCCCCCTTCCTGCCCCGCGTGGAGCAGAGCTCAGTCTGGGCTCTGTGCTTGTAGGTCCCAGGTAGGTCGGCCCTGGCAGCGGTGCCTTGTGCCGGCTGCCCTGCCTTCGGGGCTCCTCCTCCTCCCCTTCCTCCTCCCCTTCCTCCTGCTCCTCTTCCTCCCTCCCTCCTCCTTTCCCCCTCCTTTTCCCCCTCCTCCTTGGTGTGAGGGCCCCAGCTGCCCGCCCCCCAGCACTGCCAGGGTCTCCCCCTTCTGCAGGTTCTGAGGCTCGCTTTACGGTAGGGACCCAGGAGTCCTGCTTCCAGCCCCCTTGCAGGCTCCAGGTGTTCTGTGTCCCTGACCCCGCCTTTAGGGGTTGAGTTGTTCTCCCTTCCGACCCCCCTTGTAATGATCCAGAGTTCTGCCTGCCCCGAGGACCCCCCTTTGGATGCAGGACCCCCAGCTCCTTCCTGGCCCCCCACCTCCTGCCTGGCCCCCCGGCTCCTGCCTAGCCCCCTTCTCTGGACCCCCAGCTCCTGCCTGGCCTCTTCTGTGCCCCCCCCGGCTCCTGCCTGGCCCCATTCACTGGCCCTCCGGCTCCTGCCTGGCCCCTTCTCTGGATCCCCAGCTCCCGGGCTGCCTGGCTGTCAGATCCCAAGCACTGGCTCCCTGTGCCCCCTCTCCCCTGGGGATTCCAAGCCTAAGCCCTACCAACCCGTCCCAGGAGTCCCCCCCACCCCCAGCTCCTAGTCCTGTCCCTTAATCTGTTATGCAGAAACTGGATCAGTGGGTTGTTTCACCACATAAGCCTGGAGCCCCAGCAGCAGGGACCTTGATCAATTCACTTTCACCCCATTGCCTTCCCACTCCTCTGTGGCCCCTTTAAAACACTGCTTTCCTCCCTGAGTGGTGTGAACTCTCCTTGAGGGAGAGAGCCACCCTCCTATCAAACTGAATCAACCTTGCTTTCTTTACCAGCTTATGGTGCAGTTACCTGGTTATTCTGCTCACCTCCCACCCTCCTGAGTCACAACTCTTCACTTTATCACATTTATTAATAGTGTGGGCTCTCACTCTTAGGCCATCCTTTTACAGATGTTAATTGATTCTCTAACTCAACCCTAACAGAAGCTTTTCCAAACCTCTTTCCTTCTCAATCCTCCCTCATCCATCCCTCCACACCCTGGACTCTGACTCCTACATTCCTCATTCCTCTCTTGGCTCTGCTGCTCTGGGGCTCCTCTACCTGATTTCTCCCCCCCCATCTTCTCTGCCCCCTCCCTGCCTTTTTAGCTTCCTTTTGAGTACTGTCTTTTTCCATCAGATAGTAAGCTCCTTGAGGGCAAGGACTGTCCTTCCATTTTTGTCTTTCACTCCCCAGCCCTTAGCACAATATCTGGCTCATGATAGGTACTTGATAAATGCTTATTGACCATTGACTGTTAGAGACCACCCAAACACTTGGGGGGGGGCTAGATGGCGCCATAGTGCACTTAGGGATGTGTGTGTGTCTGTCTGTGTGTATATGTGTAACTTTGAAAGAAATACACACTAAGTTGTTTTATGAAATTTAGAGGTCTTCAATTTTGAGCACTCAGGCCTAGATAAATCTAATCATAAGATAAAATAAAGAATTGAGGAAAAGAATGGAATTTTAGAAAAATTAGATATGATAGACTCCTAGAGAAATATGAATGAGAATAAGATGGAGTATACCTATTACTCAGCTGTGCATGGCACTTTCACAAAAATTGACCACCTATTAAGGCACAGAAACCTCACAGGAAATGCAGAAAAACAAACTTGTAAAATGCACCAGTCCATAAAGGCATCACTCAGTCCTCTGCTTTGATCCTCTACCTGCTATTTGTCACATTGCAAATGTGGAAGAGTGTGAAGGGGTCCCTTGAACTTGTCTTTTTGAGTTGCCATATCATGAGTCTCCTCCTATCAGTTTGTGCCTGTTAGCCCTCATGTACTGGTGATTAAGGAGTTGCTGAGATACAATGCCCCTTTAGCTGACATGGGCTTATCCAGATTATTTTATTTCATTACAAAAATTATCAGTAATTATCCATCTTGAATCCCTTGCTAATCTACAGTGATAAGCCCCTAAATGTTGCTACCTTGTTTTTCTTTTTGTTTTGTTTTGTTTTGTTTTTCGGTGAGGCAATTGGGGTTCAATGACTTGCCCAGAGTCACACAGCTAGGGAGCATGGAGTGTCTGAGACTGCATTTGAACTCAGGTCCTCCTGACCCTAGGGTCAGTGCTGTATCCACTGCACCACCTAGCTGCCCCTGTGTTGCTACCTTGACATATGATAATAAACTTCTTTTGATTCCCTTAGTCCTGAGTTTTGCCTCCTTAATCCAGCTGAAAGCCTGAACAAAGAATTGTCCTTTTAACAATAAGGAGAATTTACAAGGTCCTTTGGACTTTCCTCAAAGAGTAAGTTACTGTTATTACTAATACTATTTATTTTTATTATTTTAAAAAATCATTTAAGTTTCATTTTATGGAACAAAATAAGCATTTCCATACCATAGTATAATAAAAAAAGATGATTGTATGTGAAACTGCAAAGCTATTGCAAATGACTGCAAATAGCTCAAGTTGCTATTCCTTTCCAATATGCTACAAAATTATCATGTAAATTTCTTTTTTCTTTCTTTTTTTCCCTTCACCCCCAGCCCTAGAGATGGCTACCATCAGACATACACACATACTCACACAGGTATGCCCAATACAGAAGGGAGAGAAAGCTTTATACCCTTAGAATGCTGTGACTCCTCCCTTCCAGGCCCAGATTGGTCTCCTCCTTTCAGGGTCACAGTCTTCCTGATCCACCCATCCTTTGTTTCCCTTGTCCCGTCCAGTCCACCCCTCCCTCGCCATAGGAGGCATGATCAGTTAATGAGGCTCTGATTCTATGCTGGGTGTGTCAGTTAATATTATATCTGCTAATTAAGCCTGCCCAGTTCCAAAAGCCTGAGCCCTTTGGCCTGCTTCGGGTCCATTAAAAGGGGTTCTGCCCTCTAGACTGAAAAACAGGAACTTTGGAGTCTATTTCAAAGGACTAGGCTCCTTCTCATTGGCTTGCCCTTTCCCCTGTTTTCCTGTTTTTGCAGGGTTTTGCAAGCTTGTTAAAACAGTGTAACTTGTTATTCCCAGATTCTTTGCTGATGTTGCAAAATGTCAGAGGTTCTCTTAAATTGTGGGAGCATGATACCTTGTTTCCCCTTGCCTGATTCTCCCCATTCCCTCCCAGCACTATTCTATCTTTGTGGATACTTAACCCTTACCTGACTCTCACAGGCCAAGGGGGTGCAGGTGATGGGGTGCTTGGGTGCTTGTGCTTGGACCCCAATTTCTCCCTAGCCTCAGAAACACTATCCCTTGGAGTTTCCCCCCAGCCCGAGGACACTGTGCCTAGCAATTACTCATGAGTGGGCCCAGCAAGACCCTTATCTCTCTCCCTGGTGCAGCTACAAACAGCACCTGAAGGAATTAATAGTTGGAACTGGCTTTCTACTGGGTCATAAAGATATTGTTACCCACTGGACTATCTATACTACCGCCCTGCCAAGTTATCTACATCCTGGACTCCTCATTATCTGTATTCTAGGCCTAAGACATATGGATACTCCCTCCATCTGTCTTGTCAAACAAGACATTGACTGGTGGCAGACTGGGCAGCTCTCAGTTACCCCTGAACTCTAGTTAACTTAGTGACGTAGCACGCCTAAAACCACACCTCCATGTGGCCCCCCTTGTGGGCTTTTCCTAGTGAACTCTGGGTAAAAGGCCTACACGATAGGTACAAGAAGTGCATGTTCCTTTAAGAACTGACCACTCCTTTACCACTCCCTCATCCTACCCTGAATCACCTAGTTAGCATATTGGACCCATGTTTTATTGTATTGTATCCTATACAAACTTTAACTGTGCCCCTCTAAGGTCACAGGTTCCTTAAGAATCCTTGCCCCCTGAAAAGCATAACAATAAGCTTTTTGCCAACTTGACTTGAAGAATGCTTGAGTCTGTGAATTCATTCCAGATGACACTGTGCTGTACTCCAGTCTTTGAGGGGTCTCAGCCTCTCAGACTGCAGCACAGGGAGGGCAGAGGACCAAGTGGAGAAAGATCTCTGATTCAGGAGCCTTTGAGACTCTGCCTGGTCTCATCCCATGTGGGATCTCAAGCCCCTTCTTCCTCTTGGGTCTCTGAAGGAGAATGGGTGAGGCAAGTGGAAAGGCTTTTAGAAGTACTTCTGATCTTGCTGTACATCAGAGAATCCGCACTGGAGAGAAACCATGTGAATGTAATCAATGTGGGAAGTCTTTCAAACTAAACTCCTATCTTGTGCACATCAGAGAATCCACGCTGGAGTGAAACCTTATGAATGTAATCAATGTGGAAAGGCATTCAGACTGAACTCCAAACTTGCTCCACATGAGAAAATCCACACTGGAGAGAAATCTTGTGAATGTAATTAATGTGAAAAGGCTTTCCCACAGAGCTAGACTCTTGCTCAACATGAGAGAATCCATACTTGAGCAAAACTTAATGTGATAAAACTTTTTATGTTCACTCCCACCTTACCAAACAAATCTGATGAGAGCAGAATCCAAGAGACATAATTTCTGGGTAGTCATTTCATTCATTATGGTCATGTAGCTGTCTCTTGTAAACCAAAGATGAGTCATGCAGGCCTCACAACACTTACATGCCCTTAGATAAGTGGATGTTACCAACAGGTATAAATCTGCTATAAACTGTGATTAGTTAAAAATCAATGAGAATGAATATTATAATGAGAGGTGGACTTATTCAAATGAGGGGCTGGCAGTCATGACTCATATGACTCATATCCCAATACTGGACAAAGAGACTTATCTCTATCTCTCCCACCCTTGCATAGAGCAGTCTAGACAATAGGGGGAGTCCACTTCCCCTCAACCCTGTCTGACTAAAGCTCAATGGGCCAGAAATCCCCTAGACTAAAATCTCTCAACCTTTTAGTCAGATCTAAACTTTTCCAGTTGGGTTAGTCTTGCCCAAGATTTCATTTCATCACTTCTGCCCTTTCAGGCTGGCTGAATCACCTACAGGGGCTGATTTCTGAATATGGAAATAGAAAGGGGAGAAAATCTTAGTGTCCTAATTCAATAATTGGTTATTAATCAGAGAGGAATAATCAGAGAATCTCTTCTAGAGGACATACCTTGTTAATATAATCAATATGAAAAAGCATTCAGGCTAAAGTCATCCCTTATTTCCCATCAGAGAATTCACATAAGATTGCAATCATTTCTGTCATGAATGTGGAAAGACATCAGATGGACTATAGAGCTTGTTAGACATCAGAAAATTTACCTTGCGAACCAGCCCTGTCTGGACTCAGTTGGGAAGGCCAGAAATCATCTCTTCACATCAAGAATTCATAATGGAGAGAAGACTTATGAATGTGCTCAATGAGGACCTGCCTTTCCTTGGAAAATGGAGGTCACTAGACACCACAATATTCAACTCTGGAAAGAAGCCTTACAAAAGCAATAATTGTGGGAAGGCCTTCACCTGGAGCTCATACTTGTGTGTATATTGGAGAAATCTTCCTGGAGGGGCAGCTAGGTGACTCAGTGGATAGAGCACTGGCCCTGAAGTCAGGAGGACCTGAGTTTAAATCCAGCCTCAGACCAAACACTTAACACTTACTAGCTGTGTGGCCCTGGGCAAATCACTTAACCCCAATTGCCTATTAAAACAATCTTCTTGGAGATAAAACTTATGGATCTAATGAGGGAAGGCTTTTCCCTGCAGCACAGCCTCTTGAGACATCACAGATCTCATACTATGCATAAACCCTGAAAATAGATTAAATTTTGCTCTGAAATCCCAAGGTTTCTCTTGACTCCCCCAAAATATTCCATGACCCCCCTAGAGCGTGGCCTGCCACTGACACTCTCCTCCCATTGTCTTGAAACAAACCTTTCCTGTTCACATTGGAAGCTGTCCTAGGCTGGTAATCTGCTTCACTGCTCCAAAATTCATCCCGAGGCATCATTGCAAGTTTGTTTGGAAGGGGATTTGGAAGAGCCCAGGCAAGTTACTGCCTCACCTTGCCATCTTGGCTCCAGAAGTCCTCATGCCCATTTTTGAAAGAAATATTCCCTTGATAGCTCAAATTTTCCAAAAAAGATTTCTTGTCTTTTGCATTCTATTGTTTTCTTCTATTTCTTTGCATTTCTTATATAAGAAAGCCTTGTCTCTCCTTGCCATTCTCTGGAATTATGCATTCATTTGGGTATATCTTCTCCCTTTCTCTTTTACCTTTCCCTTTCTTTCCTTCCTCAGCTATTTGTAAGGCCTCATCAGACAGCCATTTTGCCTTTTGTTTTTCTTTTTCTTTGGCATATATTTAGTTACTGCCTTCTGTGCAGTATTAAGAACCTCTGAGGGGTAGCTAGATGGCACAGTGGCTAGACCACTGGCCCTGGAGTCAGGAGGACCTGAGTTCAAATCCAGTCTTGGACCAGACACTTGACATTGACACTTACTAGCTGTATGATCCTGGGCAAGTCACTTAACCCCAATTGCCTCACAAAAAAAAAAAAAGAACCTCTGTCCATAGCTCTTCAAATCTACCAGACCTAATCCCCTAAATCTAGTCATCACTTCCATTTCATATCCATAAGCAATGTTGTTTAGGGCATATCTGTAGGGTCGGATGGTTTTCCTTATTTTCTTCAATTTGAATCTGGTAAGTACTTGATCTTAGCCTCAGTCGTATTTTGACTAATTGTATAGAACTTTACCACCTCGGCCTTTTTTCCCTAGAAAATCTTTTAGGTTTCCGTAGACCTGAGCACCTTTGGCCGCTGTGGAATCAGTGGTTGGAAGATAGACTCGTTACTGTGACGTTGAATGGTTTGCCTTGGATTTGAACAGCACTTGACTATGTTGGAAAAATCTTGCTGGAGATAAAACTTATGGCTCTAATTAACAAGGTTAGGTCTCTTGTTCAAGACCTCTTTAGATTTCCCAGTGTAAGAGACCCCATTAAACAACCAAAATTTCTTACTGTGAATAAACCCCTGTAAATGTTGTGACTTTCCCCCATGAAACCCTGATGTTTCCCATTACTCTACAATAATATTCCTTTGAATTCATATGATGTAATTTCTTTAGCTATTCAACAATTGATGGGTACTCATTTTGTTTCTTGTTCTTTGTCGGCACAAAAAGTTCTGGTAAAAATATTTGGATAACTGACTGCAATCCCTCTAGAGTGCTACAATCATAGCTGGGCAAAGTGATTTTCTTTGTAAGATAATTTGGAAAATATATTCAACTGAATTGATGTCATTTGATTGGCAACAAGTTTTTGTTTAAATCTGTCTTGTCAAAACAATAAGATTTGTTTTAAATCTGTAATATTGCTTTTGTTATTATTATGCTTCAAAGTTTTCTTTTATGGTGATTATGGGAAATTATTTGGTAACCAAGATTGTTAATTTTAAAAATGATACCTAGAGGGTGATGCAATTGTATTCCTAGGAAATTCACTTCTCTTTTGACTTGGATGCTGTGAAATGATGAATTAAACTGTTAGAGAATGTGGTTATAATGTTTTAAAACTGCTAATAGTTCATTGCATGTATTTGGCTTTAAAAAGTATAAGAACAATAACTTTCCTTTTGGGAAAAGTAGGAAAGACTTACAAAT